GTAGGTGTAGTAGCTAAGGAGGCCGAGCAGAGAGACTCAAAATCTCCTTCACAGGGCCACCCCAAGCAGAGCCTGGGCCCTGGGCCTCTGGGAAAGCTAAACGTACAAAGGCTTGGATAGAGAAAGACTGTTTTTTTCCTCCCTTACTTTTCTAGTTTGAAGAAAGACAGGCCTTACCCTAGAGAATATGTAACAGAGTATTCTGGGAGATTGGAGGCCCCAGCACACACAGAGTCTCTGGTAACCCCAGGACAGAGAGTTTTGAAGGCAGACGTGCTAACAACTCTGCACCACTTAATTTAGAATTTCAAAAGCTGACCTCCCTTCTGACATGTCTTATCTCATCCAAGCCTCCAAACAATCCCGAGGTAGGAATTATACATCTCAATTTGATAGATAAGGAGAATAAGGGTCACAGAGGTTAAGAACACACAGCTAGGAAGAAACTAGAAAAAGCTAGAATGGAAAAGTTGGTCGGATATCTAATTCTGGGCTCTTCTCAACAATATATTCTGCCTTTATTCAAAGACTACATTACCATGGTCACTTGGCTCCTCGTTGATGTTATTTATTTATCTTTTGGGGAAGTATCAGGGCTTGAACTCAGTACTTTGTGTTTGCTAGGCCAGATGATCTACTATTTAAGCCATACATCTAGCCTTTCAGGTTTTACTATTCTTCTAAAAAAGGTCTTGTTTTTTTACTCCAGACTAGCCTGGACCGTGGTCTTCCTATTTATACTTCTAATATGTGGGATAAGAAATGCATACTACCACACCCAGTGTTTTATTGGTTGAAATGAGGTTTTGAGAAGCTTTTGCCTGACTGGCTTCAAACTGCTATTTATCTACCACCCTCCCCCTCCTTTCCCCACCAAGTAGTTAGGATTTCAGCATGAGTCACTATACCTGGCTATTTCTATCATTTTAACCCGCCCCCTTACCACCCTGCTGCTTACATGAAATATTCAATTCCATTAGCCCGTGTTATCCTGGGCAACTCTAGCTGGCAGACAGGGCAAGGCATGACATCTAAGAGAACAAATCCCAAAGACCCATGGCCAGAAAGAGGCAGAATTGAGCCTAGAAAGGAGCTTGGTTACATTTCATTCCTAGTTAGTGGCAGGAACTAGAGCCAAGCCATCATACTTGAGCAGTATCTGAGAGGCTGAGCTGACTTAGCTTGATTGGAGTAAGTGACACTTGACTGGAATGAGTGACATTGTGCCAAATGATTTGGCCCCTAAAAGAAGCAGCTCCCACAATGGAGTTCCCACACAGTATAGCAGGTCCTCAGACTAGAGGCAATACCTTCTCCAAGTGCCTCTTCTTTGTATGACTTGAGCTCAGGCGAATCTCAGGGAGCCCTGCTACTGGTCACTCTCTGACTCCGTCTACACAAGGGCTTTCTAACTAAGACATGATCTCTGCCCAGGGAGCTCTGCCTGCCACAGAAGCTGGGACTGTGCCTGGGCTTGTCCCTCAGTGTCTCCACCTGCTTTCTTGTTCACAATTTATCCCTCCTAAGTAGGAGGGAGACAGCCCCTCTGATACCAGAGGCGGTCCCAGCCTCTACCCTCCTACCTCTCTTCTGCAGAGACCCTGCTCCAGATTTCAGCTTCAAAGGATTCAGGTGCCCTCCTTTCCAGACCGATTAAGAGACAAGCCCTTTCATTTTCTTTACAGCTCTCCAAGCAAGTCTACTATGTATGCCATATCTGGAGAAAAACCTGATTTTAACGATGGAGAGAAATGAATAAAGTAAAATGCCACACCTTGGATAACACAGAACACAACAAACAACACACCATAGAAAATAGCAGACTGCTTTGTGCATTATAATGATACGTAATGTTTGCTGAAAGTATTGTTTCAATTGTGTGTGTAGGTGTATCATCTTGAGTCTGAACATAAACTTACTTCTTGCTGTAGATTATGGTAATTAAAATAAATTATTTTTGGAAAACATAGCTTGTGATCCTCCTGTAGAGTCAAAGGGCCTTCAGTGCCTACTGCTGTTCACTTCATCTGATGTCTCCAACTCCAGCCAAACCCTACACTACTGTGGCTCCTCACTGAGTTTCCCAGGCCCTACATCATCCGGATGCAAGGTGTTTTCTCAGCTTCCTTGTCTCTCACCTGTCTGCGGGTCATGTCAATGCACAGTCTCATCCTGAGCTCTCTCTGTGCATGGAGCCCGTGCTAGCTTCCCCATCCTTCCTATGGTTCCTTTTCCATCCTCACCAGCCATCCTATCCTCCTAGCACCCTCAGTATTCTCTCTTTCCAGCTCTGGACTCTCCTCTTGACATTCTCTCAATGGATGTCATTACCTTGTGTCTACATTCTCGTCTCTAGAGCCCCATATGTGCAGTTTACTAGCTATGAGCTGGTCTCCTGGAATTAGGGTGAAGACTGGGGAGGAACAGCAGAGTCACAGGTTTGCTGTCTGCCGCAGTCATGGAATACATGTAAGGTGTGATTGACAATCCCAGAGGAAATCGTTGAGACTGAGCTGCTGAGGGTTTTGTCTGTGGTTTCCTCGCCACCATGAAGAGAGTCCTAGAATCTAGAACTTCAGTGTTCTTCCCTTTGCACAGTGCACATATGCCAGTATAGCAACATCTTACTCATTTAACTAGGCTCTCATCCAGAGCTGCAACTCATTAAGAAAGCTTTTAAAACAGTGATGTCCAGACTCCATATCAAACTAGATGGATATAGAATCTTCTAGGAGAGTTTTTGGCTTGTTTGTTTCAGTTTTATATTTTGAAGAAATGAACATACACATAAATGTAGCAGAAGATCCCATGCACATTTCTCCCAGCCTTCCACTGGTATCACCTTACACAACCACAGTACAACATCAAAACCGGGACAAGTAGGGGGGGGGCATTCAGATCCCTACAGTTATACAGGCACTCACATGTGTGTGCACATACAGCTGGATGCAGTTTTGAAATGTGTGCTTAAGTATGTACACCACTGCAATCAAGATACTTAACTGAACCATTACCACAAAACTCCCTCTAGTTTGTCTTTGAAACCTCCCAAGTGATTCCTTCTTGTGCACAAGGCTGGTGAGTAATTACTGCATCAAAACACTGCTCCTCACCCAGGACAATATCTTGCCACCCTTTATGTCACCCCTGGCTTAAAACTGGAGTCATCATTAACCTACTTTCCTTTGGCCCACCTACCCATGGTAGAGCCAACAGATTGTTCCTTCATAATGTCTCAAGCTTATGTCTGACCCTTGAGTGCCACATCCCATATGGCTCCAAGCCTTGGAGACTGCTGGTCTGTAGTAGTAGTCCTTTGACTCATGTTCACCCTTCTAGGCACCCCTTTCCAGTCTCTATCATTCAAGGAGGTCCAAACTGCACCGTTGCCCATTCCCTTGACTGAGCCTTTTGATGAGGGCCATCATTTACAAAATAGACCAATTTTTTAAAAGTACAAAACCTTCTGTTTTTGATTCACTTTCCTTATCTAAGTGTCTCAAACAAAATGTCAGTACTTTATCATTTTCCATCTAGATTAAAGACAAGTAGTGTCCTTAAGGAGGCGATAAGTTTCTCATCCTGGGGCAGGCATAAAAGGCTCCAAGATGTCTTCCTCCAGGACTTCATTCTCTTTTCCCTTTGATATGAGAATCCCGGGATTGCTTCTTGTGTGATGATGTCCTGATCTTTGGGAAGGTGGTTCTTCTACCTTTTGGATCCTTACATAAACTGTGAGAGGGTGGCAGTCATGGATATAACAGATGGGCTGTCTAGTGTTGGCCATTGGAGAAATAAAAGCTTTCTTAGGTATTCATTTCTTGGGTTCGAAGAAAGATGATGGGAGGTGGTGGTAGGGATGGGAGGTGAGCCCCTTCCTAGCTCCCTCACAAAAGATAGTCACTTTCAAAATGGTACTGCCTCTTTGCTAATATCCTGGTGCCCTTCCTTCCCTTTGTGTCTATGCAACAATGAGAGTTAAGTGATACCTAAGAATTACTCTTCAGAAACTCTGACATCCCTCACAGCTCTGCTCCCACACTTCTTACTACATGATGATCAAATAAAAAAAAGAGAGTTCTTTATTGAGATTAAGTGCATTTCAATTATCTGATATGCTTCAGCTTTAATTGATAACGAATCACAAATTGCCCGTCTTATTACAGCAACTGATTCACTGGGGAATTTACTACCTACACCGGAGAAGGCTCAAAAGATAATGCAAGCCCAGCGACTCTATGATCAGATGACCTAGAAATCCATGTTTTAAAACCATGAATTATCAGAAGCACATTCATAGAAATGAACCAATCTAGAGCCCAGTCCCTGAACACTCTCTGTAACATGGTGTCAAAATTTATGGATCATGGATGGGAGCGTTACCTGGAGAAGAATCAGAGGTCAAGGAATGTGTATAAGAAGAGGAAAGCAGTTGGTGGTGGCTGGAGGAGATACGTAATGAAAACTTTAACAAGGTATTTGTAGACTAGGACCTCGCTAGAGACAAGAGAGAATAGGGTACAGGGATCCAGAAAATAGGTTAGATGCTCAAATTCTTGGTTACTATCACTGACAGCCACACTGACCCTTCTCAACACCACCATGAACCTCCACAGCCACTAGGAACAAATGCCAATGAGCAATCTTTCAGGCAGGGGTGAGGAGACACACGAAATGAAATAGTGCTTAACAGAAAAACATCATTGTATATATGGTAAGGATGGAGGATATCAGGGTATTTCCCCCTGCAATATTGTTCTGGAATGTTGGAAGAGAGAGTGACTGGCCAGTGTGGAAAAGCCTGAGGACTAGGCCTCCTTGGTTGCCCAAATAGGAAGAACCTTCCAAAGCAGTGATTGCCATGAATTTTGTATCTCTGAGGTGACATTGCAGAAAATTAGCAGCCTTTAGAAAGCCTTGAAAATGAGAACTGGAAATGGAAACTTCAGCTCAACAGTCAGCCAGTAGGCAAGGACTGGCCTCAGAAGTTGAGCACTTACCATTGCTGCTGTTGTCATCCACCAGAATAATCTCCTTGAGCAGGTGCTGGGGGGTGCGTTCCATGGCTGAATGGATAGAGCGCAGGAGCACCGACAGGGCTTCATTGACGAAGATGAACACGATGCTCACCTCTGGCAGGCTGTCCGGGAAGGAGAGATTTCGGCACCTAGAAAGAACAGCCAAGCTCTTGAATCTTTCAGTAACTCAGGTCATTCCAGGTGCAAGCCTACCTTATGAATTTTCTCCATCTTTTCTAGAGGGTTCTAGAATGCAGATTCTTCCAAGCCTCTTCCATACACTGAAGATGTGCCCTATGTGTGCAGCAAAAGGCCTACAACTATTGAAAGTTTGTGTGAATTTGTCAATGGCTCTTCCAGATGAGCAGCTGCAGCTGCACCTGAGCACCTACAGTAGCAAATGGACAATGGTTAGTATTTCCAGAGTGCTTGGTGGAAGGATGGTTCTACCCTTCTTTTTTTTTTAAAGGGAATGTATAAGTTTTTTTTTGCCTTCCATTCTTTTTTAAAATTGAGATTAGGTGATTACATAAATTTCACATATTTCACAGTATTGTGGAATAGCAATAGTTAAAGTCACAAACACATTTTAACCTTCACAAGGCAAATTGTCATTATCATGGTCTATAAAGTTTGGTTCTACACTTCTAAAAAAACAGGATGAAAAACAAAGACAAAGGGATTTTCAAACTGGCAAGACCTTTAAGGCAACCAGCCTCACAGGGGGAATATATCTCTTCCCAGAGGCGTACGTCTCTGCTAAACCCACTCATCTTTGCTTCAGAGGTCATTTTGCCTGCCCTCCTCCAGTTACTCCCATTCATTCAGGGATCCAGCCTCAAAACCAGGTACAAGCTGGAGTCAAGGTCTCAGGCGAGATAGGGATGGAAGGACCAAGCCAAGTCTCATACACAGTTCAGGACACTGAGGCACAAAGAGTTTGAGCCCCTCACCAATGGCTGCCAAGAGAGAATCCCAGTTCTAATCTTTGGACATCTGCATCAGGGTTCCTCTCTAAAAAAGAAATGGCCTTGAAAGAGACTAACTGATCATTTCCTCAGGCTCTCTGAAGCCATTCAGGGGAAGACAGTACCCCAAAAGACTAGAGGCAAATCCATGAAAGGCTGCATGTATTCCCCATAGGAACACACAACACTTGAGATCAGATCCATTAGAGACCAGACAGGAAGAAGGGCTATGGCTCCCAAGAGCACCTCTTTCCCCAGAAAGCACAATCTTCATGGGCAGGAAAATACTGTGGGGTTCTTCCCTAGCTGGAATGAAATTCTGCTCTATAGTCACTGAACAAAAGGATAAGGAAGGAATTTGAGCCTTTCGCAGGCCCTGGACTTGGAGCAGAAGTTGCTCACAGTTAGTACCTGGCTCTGAAGGCTCCAGGGATTTAGGGCTGGTGATCATGCCCCATTGTTCCAAAGTGTGTATTGAAGCCAGGTTAGAACATGCAGTAATGAGTGTCATAGCACAGAACTTCTACGTACGGTAATTAAAGTACTGCAGGATGGGAATGGGCCTGCTCTTCTTGATGAGGAAGGCTGCAGGATAACCATACTGAGCAATTTGGAGAAATCACCATGGGGCCCCAGCCTGCTTAAGAGCAAGAGATTAATAAACTAAAATCACAGTCTCTATGGTTACCAGAAATTTACAGAAACTTCTCCTATTCTATTTCTAGCTCTTCTCTCTCACCAAAGGGAGTGGGGAGGAGAAGGGTTGAGCCTCTTTCCGAATCAACTTCACATTTGCAATTTTTATAAAACTATCAAATTAAGAGATAGAGAATAATTAGCAGAATGAATATTTATTGAGCTTCTTCTAACAGGCAGGCACTGTTGTAGGTGCTTAAGGGTCTGATGGGAAATGGAGAAAGTCTGTATCCTCATGAAGCTTATATTCTCACAAGGTAAAAAAATAAACATGGAAGCAAGGAAATGGACAAACTCCATACAAGTGCTAAGATGAAGATTAGGTTGGGGTATAAGACAGCGTGATATCCTGGTAGCCATTCTAAGGAGTTAAGAAGTGATCGGATCAGAAATCTAAATGATGTACAAAACTGAGCTGTGCAAATTGAGCTGTTCCACAATTGAAAGGATGAGGGGATGGAACAAGGGGGTAGGAACTTCCACCAAAGAGAAAGACTGGAATGACTCAGCTCATCAGACCATTCCCCAAATTGCTTCTATTGTTGTGAAGACAATTACATAACATCAGTTAAAAGGGTTACTGTGTATAGTTAGACGATTCTGGGGTTAGTCTTATTTATGGGTGGGGGGATCAAGACCAGCAGTTAGGCTTTCCCTTGGCATCGAAATAGATAGATATGAATATACAAAATACTTGTTAATTACATGTTGAAAGTAAGGTCATACAAGATGAAGCAAATAGCATAAGGTCATGGTTCTTTTTCAGTGTAAGTACAATGGACAGCTCCTAATGAGGTCAGCATATGGGACAAGCTACTTGCCTTCCCTGGTAAATTCCAGTAGCATTGAAGACTCTAGGCCTGGGGCTTTGTGTGCTTGGCCAGGGGTTTCCTATGAGTTCTCAGCCTCACTTTTACATCTCCAAGTTGTTCCCCAACTGTTTTTCAGAGATAGAGTTAACTCTCTTCATGTTGTTGTTGTTTTTGGTCATGGGACTTGAATTCTGAGCCTGGGTGCTGCCCCTGAGTTCTTCAGCTCAAGTCAAGCATTCTACCACTCGAGCCACAGCACCACTTTTGGTTTTCTGATGGTTAATTGGAGATAAGAGTTTCATGGACTTTCCTGCCCAGACTGGCTTTGAACCGTGATCCTTAGATCTCAGCCTCCTAAGTAGTTAAGATTACAGGCAAGAGCCACCAGTGCCGGGCTCCTCACTCTCTTCTCAGTTTTATTTAATTTTATTTAATTAATTAATTTATTTATTTTGGTCCGGTCATGGGGCCTGAACTCTGGGCCTGGGCGCTGTCCCTCAGCTCTTCAGCTCAAGGCTAGCGCTCTACCACTTGAGCCACAGCGCCACTTCCTGCTTTTTTCTTTTTGCTTATGTGGTGCTGAGGAATCGAACCCAGGGCCTCAGGCATTCAAGGCAAGCGCTCTACCACTGAGCCACCTTCCCAGCCTCTCTTCTTAGTTTTAAATGTTACTATCCAACCTCCCTTATCAGAGGAGACCAAATTTAATTTCTCCCAGTAACAGCCAGGATGGTGTGAGCTGGCAGTCACTGTAAGCTGGTCTCCTGATGAGTTCTCTCCAAGCAGAATCAAAATGTTATAGTTGTTTTACAAGCTAAACCCTGCAGAGCACTATTTTCATATATGAAAGACATTTGAACATATAGCTTTTATATGAAAACTCCTTAGCAGATAACAGAATACCTAGTATATTGCATCCTGTTGGTACTTGTTTATTATGTTGGTGAGTGTCTCTCTCTCTCTCTCTCTCTCTCTCTCTCTCTCTCTCTCTCTCTCTCTCTCTCCAGTAATGAATGTGGCTCCTTAGAGCAAAGACTTTGTTTTGTGACTATGCTATCTTCCTACCATCAGCCAGGACCTGGTACATGGTAAGTCCTCAGTGAATATTTTAGCATAAAAACAAACTAACGGCATTGCTCATTTTATGTACAGCCTTCACTTTATATCCATGCCACTTCATGTGATCGCAGAATATTCCTTTTTCCCCATAAATTTCCTCTCTCAAAGGAAAGTCAGTATTCCTACCTATACCAGCTAGCTCTTGATTTCTGTCCTTTCTTCCTTTGAATTTTTGGTCTCCATTCCTCACAGTTTCTAGAAGTTCTCAATTTCTTTACACTGTAATTAAATGGTCCCTCCAGGCTAAATGTCCTGACCTTTTTTAATTCTTCTTTTCTCTTCTCTCTAGGGAGTGCTCAGGCCCTTCCAGCTACAGCCACCTGCAACAGTCACCGTCTCCTGGTCACGTGCAGCTTCCCCCATCCTCTGTGTGTTTGTTTGCTTGCTTGCTTTATAACTGAAAGTGGGTCTGGGTAAGCAGAGAAGAGAGGAGTAGATGGGATAAGAAAAAGGGATAAGGATGATGGTTTTTAGAGACAGTGAACTATCATGGAGAGGAGGCACCCAAGCACTGGTCTCAGCTTTCCCAGCTTTCCCTGCCTTGCTGGGGGAAACATAAACAATGCATTCCACTTCTTTCCCTGTCATCACTGTAGGAAGAAATGGTCACTTAGATGTGCAGAATTCATTCTCTTATATCACATATGCAAGGAACAGAAGAAATTTCATTGTAGAAATAATTTTCACACTTTGTTTCCTTCTCAACTCCCTCCCTTCCTTCTGTTACCACTAAACTTCATAAGAGACATCTCTTGCCACCATGTGACTATAACAGGTGATCGCCTCTTCCGCTTTGCCTGTGATTTTCCCAGTTTGAGCAGCAAATGCTCCAGCAAAGTAAGAGAGCTAGTTGTCCTGTGGTTTCATCATGTGCTTCTCAAGGGAAGGGACTGGCCTCACTCACATATGCATGTCACCACCCAGCATGGTACAGAGCAGACTGCAGACATTCTGTTGATTTGTGGAGTTAATTTCCTTTCAGACTTCTCCAGCCATAGATTCCCATCATCCTGGTGCTCACTTGGGGTTCCTATTTTTCTTTCCACATAAGCAAAATGGAAAGGAATGTTGTAGGAAGAAAGGAGGGAAGTAAGGAAAAAAGGAAAGGAAGAGAGAAGAAGGAGGGAAGAAGGAACATGTTGGAGAAGATGTGTGCATACTTTTGGGGCATAGCCCTCATTATCATTGCAGGATACTGAACTCAGGACAGACATCTTTGCTGCTTGAGCACTGCAGCTGGAACATGCCTCCCAGAGCTGTCATGGAAGAAGATTGCTCAGAACCCATTCCATCCTTGAATAGCTGCCCCAGAATTCAACTGGCTTCACCTGTCAGCCCAGCAACTACTCCTGTAAGACTTTTCCTCTCCCATGTGCACTGCTGAGAGGTTCTCCCCTAGTCTTAAGGCTTGAATAAGAAATGTTCTCCACAGGCTTGTGTATTGAATGCTTGGTCTCAAGTTGTAAGCACTATATCTGACATTCTGTAAGCATTAGGAGGTGATATGTATATGGAGGAAGAAGATCACTGGGGATGTGCCTTGAAGGTATACCT